TTTTTTTAGTTTTTAGTTTTTATCTCTCATACTCTGCCGATTATTTTCATAGTAGCTTGTTCTCGATTCAGTCAATATTTTTCGCTTTGTTGATTTTGTTTTTGTCTTTTGTTAATTAGCACCATTTTCTGCTCTTTTACGTGATTTTGTACATTTATTAGTTGTCACTTGTAATTACGTAATCAGTAGCACCTTAATCTTATTTAAAGCTCGTTTTTATTCAAAAGTTGTAATAACTGAAGAACGTCTCTGACCGAAACGTAACGTAAGTCAATTTTACTCACAAAACATTAAATTTTAGGTATTTAAAGCAAACTCGTAAAGATCCCATACAAACCCTTGTAAATCGCATCTTTGTGACACAACACCGCTCTCAGGCAAGAGTCACGTTCGCGTACGTTTCGTTTACATTAATTATTTCCTCTCATCTCGCGTTTGGGCCGCCTGTGACAACACAAAGCGCGCGAACTTGACATCATTACCCTTAGAAATCATGCACCGCGGTCATACATGACATGATTACCCGTGACCTTGGGTGTCATTGACATGATTATTGTATAATCTGCAGTTATGACGTCACAGGCGCCGATTTCGAAAATTCACTGTACGCTTTCGGCCAATCAGAAAAGAGACAGTGAGTTCAATGTATAATAATTTCCAGTTGCTGACACCTCGAGGTAGAGACTCCCGAAATAGAGTGTGCATTTTTCGTGCAGTAATTAAGAGCCCCAAACTAATCTTTATATCCTTGAAAACAAGAACATTTCCACTAACCACAACTTTAATCGCAAGTGATTCGGAGTAATACCGCGTAGGAAAAACGTGACTTGAAAAAATGCTCCGAAATTAGATTTTAAAACCGTAAAATAATAGTGATTTTTAAACACGTGTCGTGAATTCAAAATTAGACAAAAAAGCCTGGTTTTCGACTTTAATAATCTGCCAATATCTCCCACACAAGTATACAAATTGAAGAAAAGCGAACTTTATTTCTTACTTTTCAGGAGCGAAGTTCTTGTGTCGATACTCGGCACACTATAGCTAATGTCCGCCATTTTTGAAGTAGTCGGCATCTTGTAGTGTTTTTCGAATTTTCTGGAAAA